GACTATTGTAATGGTCTTCTCACCGGCCTTCCCAAGAAGACAATTAGACGGCTGCAGCTCATCCAGAACGCTGCTGCCAGGATTCTGACTAGAACCAGAAAATCTGAGCATATCACACCAGTCCTCAGGACCTTACATTGGCTTTCAGTTATATTTAGGATTGATTTTAAAGTACTTTTACTCGTTTATAAATCACTCAATGGCCTAGGATCTAAATACATAGCAGATATGTTCACTGATTATAAACCTAACAGACCACTCAGATCATTAGGATCGAGTCAGTTAGAAATACCAAGGGTTCACACAAAACAAGGGGAGTCCGCTTTTAGTTATTATGCCGCCCACAGTTGGAATCAGCTTCCAGAAGAGATCAGATGTGCTAAAACATTAGGTCACATTTAAATGCAGACTCAAAAATCATCTGTTTAGCTGTGAATTTACTGAATGAGCACTGTGCAATGTCTGAACTGATTGCACTATATTTTATGTATAATCATTTTCTATTCTTAACCGTTTTAAATTCATTTTAAATCAATTTTTAAATAATGTTCAAAGTTTTAAATTCCTTGTTTTATTGTGATTATTTTTTCATTTCTTTTATGTGAAGTACTTTGAATTACCATTGTGTATGAAATGTGCTATATATATAAACTTGCCTTGCCTAATACAGTGCATTTATTTATTAAAATGCTCCTCTAGAGTTTTTTTTTCTAGCCAACTAACCAGTTTATGGACGTTGAAATGTCTTTCCTGAGGTAAATGTAACGTTGTAAGCCATTTTTTTACTGATATATTTTTGCTGTCAAAACACTCATTGAGTAATTACATGCGACAAAATACATTTCAGTAAATTACTGTTTCCTTCAACGTACCATCTGACGTTCATTAATGTTTATTTTGTGCTAGTAAAAGCAAAGAGATGATTCATATGCCGCTTAAACTGAGATCTCTCACTCTACATTAAAGAGTGACAAATCAGTATATATTTTTTGTATTTCATGATAAAATTAACAGAATTTGTTAATCCAGCACTAGCGTCCACACCTGTTGATAGTTTATCCATGTCGTGAGCACAAAATAGACACTGACACAGTCAAAACACAGAAACTGAAAAGGGCAGTTTCGGCCGAAAATGATTGGTTGCCAAAATTTCGGTGCATCACTTATAATAATACTTTTAAAGGTTTAGTGCGCCCTTTAAAAATAACCATGATTATGCAAAATGAGGGATAATCACTCACCGCAAGGCCTCGGGACACGACACTCTGCCCTCTAGCATATCGCACACTGCAACTCGCATGGTCTCGTGGCGGATACACTCATTATAGTTTTTGCTGTCACCTGGATGCCTTTCCTATCAAACAGATGACAGTGCAGAATAAACTATAGCATTTACTGCAAACAAAATAAAAAACAGATTACAGGAGGACCTCATAAAGGCCTTCTATACTAAGAATGCATTGTGGGAGCTGTAGTACCTGCTCAAAGCCTGGCTCATTATGGTAAGGGTTCTCTGTCATTAGGGACTGTATGGATATGAGAACGGAGGAGATGCTCTGGGCAGGACTCCATGCTGGGCCAGTCCAAGTGCTGTGGAAAGAAACAGCCATCAAAATCAAGATCTGAATAAAGGCCTGTTCAGAACAAGGATGATAATGCTAACTGTAACGATTACTATATTATTATTGTTCATTTGCAAAAAAAAAAAATACTCTGAAAGTGATTTCAATGATATTGATCATGTGTTGTTATAGATGTGGTGTGGACTAGAATTAGAATGAATGTTAAAACTTTAAAGTTATTGTCCTTGGTGTAAACAGGCCTTCATTTTGAAACTAAAAGTGGCCAAGTAAATATATGTGGGAATCCAATCACAAAAAGAAATCATCCTTACCCGAGGATGCTGAGGCAAACTTTGCCGTTGCGGTAGAAGTTCGGGTTGAAACGAACAGTGTTGTGCCCGGTAGTGATAAGTTTGACACGTGGAGGGTGGATGGGATAGTCAGGAGGACAGCGGAACAGGAAGAGGAAGAAGCCTCCCTCATATGGTGTGTCGAAGGGACCGGTGATGAGGGCGTGAATCTGTGGAGACCCGAGAAGAAAATGGGTTTATTTGAAGCCACTATAGAGAGAATAACCAGAGACATTCTTTCACTACAGCAATTTCCACAACTTTTTCCATTACTTTTACAGATTTTTAATTTACGTTAATGCTAATTTTTATACCATTATATGCCTGTTCCACTATGCCACTGCTCATGCTTAATTCACGCTTGTACATAGAATGTTAAAAATACATCAATACAAAATGCAAACAAATTATTACACTACCGTTTATATGTTTTGGGTTCAGTTCAATATTTTTATGTTTTTAAAAGAAGCCTCTTATGCTCACCAAGGCTGCATTTATTTGATCAAACATACAGTAAAAACAGTAATATTGTAAAATATTATTACAGTTTAAAAATAACTTTTCTAGTTTCATATACTGTGAAATTATCCCTGTGATGGCAAAACTGAATTTTCAGCACCATTACTCCAGTTTTCAGTGTCACATGATCCTTCAGAAAACATTCTAATATCCTGATTTGGTGCTTAAGAAATATAACCTTTTTCAGAATCCTTCGATGAATTGAAAGTTCAAGAGAACTGCATTTATTTGAAATATAAATTTTTTGTAACAATGTAAAAATCTTCACTGTCACTTTTGATCAATTTAACGCATCATTGGTGAATAAAAGTATGAATTTCTTTCAAAACAATAAATAAAAAAATCGTACTGACCCCGAACTTTGGTAGTGTGTATGTTGAAATTAACATTAATCTAGAATGATAAATGCTGTAAAAGTAGCCTACTGTTCATTGTTAGTTCATGAAACCTAATACTGTAACTGTGCACATGCAATTAATGCCTTCACTGTTTAGTAAGAATATAACAATAGAAGCAAGGATCGAGGGAGCAGAGAACAGAACGAGGGGTTTTGAAATAATCAGCATAATTGTAAGGGAGAAGTGTGCTGATGCTTACCTTGGTCATGTCATGAGGGTCGGGAACCACAAACATACCTGGAGGAGGTTCTTTATAAATGGACATAATGTCTCTAAATGGAGGAAAGAAGAAAGGGGTGTGAGCAAAGAATCATAAAAACACAGAGACTTCACTAATATGAAGAAACATCAGTCGGATTATGCACCATTTTTGTCAAAACACAAGGAGGAAACAAGTGTCATATGCACACTCTGCCAAGAAAATCATCAGATCACTGAATGCCTGGATTAAAGAGACAAACTACACGCAAAAATATGTAGCGAATCAGCTCATGGGGAAATATGAATAATTAATCATAACTAGTTATAATTAATTATAAATATTTAGATCCGCTGTAGATATTTACTTGACCTCTCAGGGTCAACTGTATGTCAATTCTATGAACGTTAATTTGCTGGTTAAGGGAAATAACTTTCTTACTGTACAATTCTACACCGAGCTTGTAGCATAAATCTGCATGATTAAGTGACTCCAGTTATGAGCAAACAATGAACAACGTCAAGTGTGATACAAGTAAGACTTTATTAACTACATAAACACTTAAACTAGTCTAACATACTACATAAACACTTAAACTGGTTTAACATATACACACACATAATGACCAGAAGGATATGCGTGTTCATTCAAAGAAAGGTTTTCCTATGAATTAATTAGAGAAGAGTCCATTTTTACTGAGCACTGTGTCTCTTCTATGGAAAGTGTAGTGAGAGGGGTAATTCTCAACATGCCATTAGGTCGTAAATGTATCTGGTGTCAGGGTCCTGAGCCTTGTTCACAGACAACTTGGCACCCAGTATGTTTATTGGGTGAGGGGTCTGTGAACGTTTGTTAATTTAATGAATAATTGATTTGTTAAATCAAATGAAAAATGGTGTGTCTGATTGGTCCAGACGCTACACATAACTGACTCATTGTAACCGAGTGCTTTTGTTTCGTGTCCACATCTCCATTATTAGCCCTCCAGGGACGTTTATCACTTCCTGCCCAGGCCAAAGTCACTGCCAAGTGACAATTCCCGAGAGTGGCAACGTAGGGTCTTATAAATACAGTCGCCTATGACAGATTAATCTGCTTGCAACATTTGGCTGGAAAGTGTTTCAGCATGCCATGGTAGAGACTGACTAGTTATTGGTTTGAGCAATATTTTACTGATATTCAATAAACTTTTCGACTTTAAAAGGTTCTCTGTTCTACTGATAAATGCCATAATTTGTTGGGTTTCTAAAGAAAGGTACCAACTAAACTACAAAATTACATAGTGCCTTCAAGAGAAAATAATATGTATAAATATTCATATAAATTTGATTTAACATTTTTATGCACCAGGCATCAGTTCTCAAGAAAGAAATGCATACCTAAAATAAAATAAATCAGAATGAAAACTTAGTATGAATGTAATAATAGATAAAGGGGTCATATGATGCGATTTAAATTAGTCCTTTCTCTTTGGAGTGTTACAAGTTCTTGGTGCATAAAGAAGATCTGTAAAGTTGCAAAGACTAAAGTCTAAAATCCAAAGAGATATTCTTCATAAAAGTTCAGAGTCAACCACACCTTCCTAAAACGGCTCGTTCTAACAGCCCCCACATGTCTACGTCACGATGTGGGAAGATTTGCATAACGCCGCCCAAATGTTCACGCAAAGAAAGAAGGGGTAACTTTAAAGTTTAGGCAGTATGGTATCAAGGGGTATGGTGACCCATACTTGGAATTAGTGCTCTGCATTTAACCCATCCAAAGTGCACACACACAGCAGTGAACACACATACACCGTGAACACACACCCGGAGCAGTGGGCAGCCATTTTTGCTGCGGCGCCCGGGGAGCAGTTGGGGGTTCGGTGCCTTGCTCAAGGGCACCTCAGTCGTGGTATTGAAGGTGGGAGAGAGCGCTGTACATTCACTCCCCCCACCTACAATCCCTGCCGGTACGAGACTCGAACCCGTAACCTTTTGGGTTATGAGTTCGACTCTCTAAACATTAGGCCACGACTTCCCTGCTTCTTGCTGTTGCCGCTGCTGCCATGTTGTGGAGTCGTTGTGAAAGCGAAACTACTTTGTTTGGCCTTCCAAAAGAGAACACAACTAGAAATCAGTGGTTAAGTTGTATTTACAACACTGTTCCAGAACAGTTCAACCCAAATATTCAGATGTGAGCTGTGCATTTTATGGAGGTTGGATGAGGACTGTTTCCTGAACCAGTAGCCTGCGTCTGTGGCACAAAGGCTGTTCCAACTTTGCAAGGACAGTCTGGCTGTTCTGACTCACAGCCTGTAAGTACGTTTTTTATATTGAAAGAATTTGCCACTGATGATCGAAACGCGAGTTTTGAGCAGTGTAGAGTAGCGCTTATTTTTTGTTGTTTCTCCGATCACAAATGCAGACATGGTTTTATGTTTACGCAGCGCGATACGCAACAACGCGTAAAAAGACAGTATCGTTAGAATCAGTAATTATGTCCCCACTGGATGCAACAAATGCCTCATTTGTAATGGGTTTTATTGGTTTTGTCTCGTCTAGTGATGTACGCATCGCGAACGAATCGTTCTATTTAACTGGATCTTCTTAGTGAACCGGTCGAACCAGTTCACCAAATCGAACTGAATCGTTTGAAATGGTTTGTGTCTCCAGTACGCACTAATCCACAAATTACTTAAGTTATTCGGTTTATAAACATGCCTCACTCTCCCTCTGACGCGAAATAAACCAATATCCCGAGTTATTCTGTTACTCCTAACAGTACATTGACTGAACTGCTAAAAGAGAACCGATGATGGGATGTGCACGAGCAGAGCAGCTGGAATGATGCCTTGTCCAAATACCCACACTTGCAGTCTTGGCCACTTGAGAGCGTGTGCGCGCGACAGGAAGTAAGTGCGCAAAACTGTCCCAGGTCTTCAAAATGCCAAAGTGCAGTGCCCTTAACTAGGGATATATTCATATCGGGTATCGGCTCCGATAGTGTCATTTTTCTCGGATCGGGTATCGGTCAGAGAGAGCTGATCTAAATCTGAGATTTATTTATTTATTTTTTTTTTCCGCACATTGTAAGCGCTTCGTGCTCATAGACTGTCAACCCTCTACATTGAGAGTAAATCACTCGCATATGCGACTAAATCTTCACTCTGTGCGACTAAATTATGTCTAATATTAGCCAATGGCTAATCAATTCTCGTATTTTAATCGCCAGTGTGTGAGTTGGATGCTGAGTATATGATTAGCACAGTGTTTCTAGTGTGAAGGCGGACGACTCGCCGTCGCTTTCTCTCACTGTGAGCAAAGAGCGAGAGCCGAGCGAGAGTCTAACATAACATGCAGAATTGATGCGCTACATGTAAACGATATACTTTGTTGTATTTTCCTGTAAAAATAACAGTTCCTTTGTAATTCTTCTGCTTTTAAGAATTGCCGGGTTTTCCTGTAGTGGGCGGAACTAATGCGCTAACGACAATCTCATTGGCTGGTGCTCACCTATTATCGTCCCTGTTTAGATTTCAGCGAATCAGTTCGAGCAAACGCACACAACCTGATTAATATTCATGAATCCAGTAGCTCATTAATCCTTAGTGCGTTTTTATATTGTTCTTATTAGTAGAATTCATATAATAATATCTCATCTGTATTATTGTTCGTTTTTTTTACAGGAACACTGAATGACCAAAAAAAGCACCAGCACCAGTCCTAAGTTCATGGTTACCAAGTTTTAATTCTAATTACTAAACTTCTATTATTAAATAATACTTGATTATCATATTATAATGCTTGACTGACTGATATTAAGAGTGTACTTTCAGATATTTAAAAAGCTGTACCATTTTACAAACATTATATATGTTTGTAAAATGGCATAACATACATATATATATATATAACTAACCGTTGAGGGTTGACTGTATAAAAACAGTTCGTGCTGCACTGTATTTGTTTTGTCCTATCGTATCTATCTAGTTTATGATACATTTTTGTCATAGATTATAAATATACATAGGCCTATGTTTGTTTATTTTATTTTTCTTTATAATGAAGTAGTCTGTATCTAGTAGATTGTGAAATAATGATTATCAGTTCCACACACAGAGATATATAAATTCTACATTTATTTAAATGAGGGAAAAAAACTTCACTGGTATCGGATCAGAATCGGTATCGGCCAATACTGAACCCTAGGTATCGGAATCGGTATCGGAAGCGAAAAAGGCGGATCAGAGCATCCCTACCCTTAACGCACACTAAATCCACACTATCTTGAATACCGCTCCGGAGCGCTATTCGAGGCTTAGTGTATCCCATCATGCATCATGTTTTGGAATAAATCGTAAGATTTTTGCCGAGATTTCGTGAGAGGTTACGGAAACTTTTCCAATGCAAGTTAAATATTAATATAATAATTAGGTTATTATTACATATAATTTGGTAGAAAAACAGTGTTGCATGTTATACTGGTGCAAAGATGAGTAGTGGGGATATTTATTTTGTACAACATATGCTTTTCATCACTTAATTAGAAGCAGCTGCAACTTAAACAGTCATCCCTTATAGGCACTACTGAACAGATATTTAGAAGTTGACTTTAAAATGCAAAGTTCTTAAAATTAAAATAAAGCTATGCAAACACTATCAGTAGGGATTGGTACCGAAACCCGGTATTTAATCGGTCCCGGCCCCGGGGCTAAATTATGAAAGACCGGAGTATCGATAAGCTCTGACGTTAACGGTTCTGCTATCGGTACTGGAGAAATTCATAAAACACACATACGTTTATTATTGCTATATATACATTATCTTGCAAAATCTATCTCACCAGAGTCGCCAGCTGTGTTTCAAACATTTGTCTATGATGCATTTTTGCTATTCGCAATTCAGAAGCGAGATCGCGCTCACGCGGAGGAGCATTAAATCGGATGTTTATGTTTATTCAGCCTTCTGACACTCATAGCCTACTTCCTTCACCATATGTTTGGACTGGGAAGTAAATTTAAAAAGTTGTCTTACATTTCCCAAAACAAACACAGGCCTATATGACAGTCCAACATTACCTTTTTATCCGAAGAATACACTGCGGAGACGCCTTCTCGTTGTCCCAGTCGGTGCTTAACGTGGGATCCCAGGAGGTGGCGTGAATTTGGGACAGGAGGCCCGCTCCGACCGGGACTCCTGATCCGATACCGGGCGGCAGGGAAGGAGGAACGGCCACCACGGGAACCGCATGGGTGATGGTGTGCGCGATCATGGGAGCGACCACAGCCACTGCCGGAGGCGTCGAGGCGGATGAGTGCCCCGGTACGGAATTACCCAAACTCGCGGACAACTGCGCTCCGTGGTCCTGCGCCGTGCCCACGGAGCCGTTGGCCCCCTCCCCAGCGCTATCCGCCATCGTCGTTGAGACCGAAGAAGCCGCAAACTGTCTGAACAGCGGTCAGATCAATCGGTCTTAAATGCAGTTACTGTTTCTCCTCGCTCGGGAGGCAAGTGGAGGAGGGCAGGAAAAGAGAAATGACTCCTAAGTTAACGTTACATATTCTCCCTTTTCCTCTGTTCCGACCTCAACTATAACAACCTGCGTCGAAAGCAGCGCCGATTTTTAACGTTTTATCCGAAGTAGCTGAGCTTAGAGAAGCATTTAACGTTCACGTCAATGAAAACTGAGTCTAAACGCACGCGAACGTAGTTTCTGCTGGTTCGGCCTGGCCTGTTTATCAATGTTGTTTCATTTCTCCTCACTTCCTCCTCGTTTAGAAGGAAATAGTGCCATCTAGCGGCGCACTCCTGGAGGAGATTCAGGCTAAACGGGTGTCGATTCAAACGATTCGTTCAGTATTATATTACATTTTCTGGTTATAACAAAACTCCAAATAATGTTTTTTTAAACTACACGTCAACTTGTTATATAAAACAGTCCTATATTATAACCACTCTTGGTTAATTTGAACCTGAGGTTCAGTGAGTCGTATTAATTCGTAAGCGTTTGATTCATTAAAAAGAACCGGGAATCGTTTTTTTATCCACTAAAATCAGTTAGGGAATCGGATTACACTGGTCGCGCTCTATTTTTGATTCACTAAAATGAATCGATTCATAAGAGTCATTTGCTAGGGAATCAGACTACGTGCATGTTTATGATTCACTTAAAAGGGCCAGTATTCGGTAAGCGGTCGCTGATGCACGTTCAAGAACCGTTAATGTAACCGAATCGACGAAATCATTAGGCTCAGGTATTTTTAATGAAGTCCGTTCTTGTTTCCCAGCGTTAACAAAAAGGGAGTTTGCGCTTGACTTCAATACTGGGAACCCACAAAATATTGGAGCGTTGAGAAGCGTCTTATGGCAATAGTTACTAGAGTTTTACAGTGGTACAACAAATTATAGCATAGTACCAATGTATATTACTTGAAATAAGCACACTTATAATTTAAATATTACATACATTTTTAATAATTGAAGCTTGAAACTGAAAAGCAGATAAAACCAACAACCCAGCGGAGTCCGGTTTAAGCTATTTTTTGGTGAAACCGAGAGGGGAAAAATGTGTAAACTTTGTGACATTGCTCTGCAAGATGAACAAAGAATGCACCTTGTATGAACCTTTTAGTACCATTTTTTCCCCCTTCAAAAACAGAGTTGTCATCTTTACTCAATTTATCACGTATCTTTGCATAGCTAAATACTTTAAACTAATTTGGATCTATTAAAAGAATAGTTCACACACACAAAAAAAACACATTTAAATGATAATTTTCATTTTTGGGTGAACTAACTAAACTAATATTGAACATACTAGATGAACACCAATTAGCAAGAACTTGAGCAAATTTATACTGGGTATATTGAAATGTTAGCATGCCACACAAATCACTACAAGGAGTCTTGAGACATTTAGCCCGAGTGACTTTTGGACAACCTATTGGAGACAGCATGGAGAGGTTTTGAATACAAGTTAAATTCAATAAAATTATACGATAAATATTTCCCCAATCCAATATTAGCTTTAAAAACACACCAGGCCAGTCTACCTTTCCACTGCATCCTCAAAGCAGAAAAACAACAAGCAACAGCAAACGGATTTCAACCATTTATTCAGATGGTCTTATGAGAAGTGAGTTCTTGCATAAAACTTTCAGATAGAGAAAAACGGTACAGGGGAACGTAAAAAGGGAGAGTTTCTTGTAGTTTTGTTGGAATGGCGGTGCCACGGCCTAAGCTGCGTGTCACGGTTTCAATCTCCAGATCAAGAGAGTCGAACCGCGAGAGAAGAGAAGACATCCAAATTACATGGCGAACAGGATGAGGAACGCCACCATCAGACAGAACAGACCCATGGCCTCAGACAAAGCAAAGCCCAAAATGGCGTAGGAAAAGAGCTGCTGTTTCAGGGAGGGATTCCTGTAAATGGAGAAAAAGTGACTTGGGCACAAGCTACATGTACAACAAATAAACCAAGTTTAAGAGGCTAATTACCTGGCATAGCCAATAATGAGGCTGCCGAACACCGTCCCGATTCCAGCTCCTGATCCTGCCACACCCACCGTGGCAGCGCCAGCACCAATGAACTTGGCCGCTGTGTCGATATCTCTGGATACAGCGCTGGTCTGGAAGCCCCGGGTTACATTAAGAAGGGTCGCTTCACTGACTGGCAACAGAGCAGCCTGAAAAGGAGGGCAAGAAACTTAAATATGTGCAAGAGAAGCTGCAAGTTACTCCGAGGAACTCATATGGAAGGCACTTTTTATTTATCTTACCTGTTCAGTTCTTGCCTCAGGTCTGCTGAACACCACTGAAACAGGCCGGGCCAAAACCCTGGATCCTCCACGGACCTGAGGGATGAAGGAAAAAAAAACAAACAAACAAACAAAAAAAAAAAACCACAATGAGAACTAAATGATTGTCAGTGTGATATGCATTCCCCCAAATGCATGGGGGAAGTCATGGCCTAATGGTTAGAGTCGGACTCGTAACCCAAGGTTGCGGGTTCGAGTCTCGTACCGGCAGGGATTGTAGGTGGGGGGAGTGAATGTACAGCGCTCTCTCCCACCTTCAATACCACGAGACTGAGGTGAGGTGCCCTTGACTGAGGTGCCCTTGAGCAAAACCCCCAACTGTTCCCCAGGCGCCGCAGCAAAAAATGGCTGCCCACTGCTCCGGGTGTGTGTTCACGGTGTGTGTGTGTGTTCACTGCTGTGTGTGTGCACTTTGGATGGGATAAATGCAGAGCACTAATTCAGAGTATGGGTCACCATACTTGGCCACATGTCACGTCACTTTCACTTTCATATGTTTTTCTATCAACAAACCTTGACAGAAAGCAGGTTTCTAAATCTAAATCAAATATTTATGAGTGCAAGGATCCAGTGGGTATTAACTTTAACAACCATAAACCACTGCACTTGCACCTAACATCGTTTACTATGAATATTGCTCTGCAACGAATTGCTTTATGTTCCTCTACTGCAAGTCGCTTTGGATAAAAGCACCTTCTAAATTCATAAACTTAAATTTAATACAAGCACTTAAAATGCATGATTATAAATGTGGTTAGAATTAATATGTAGACAATTCCTTCCATAGAAGTTACTCAAAACACTCATACAAGCCTCTAAAAATAATGTCATTAAAGGATTAGCTCATTTCCAGAATAAAAACTTCTTGATAATTTACTCACCCTCATGTCATCCAGATCCAGTGGGTATTAACTTTAACAACCATAAACCACTGCACTTGCACCTAACATCGTTTACTATGAATATTGCTCTGCAACGAATTGCTTTATGTTCCTCTACTGCAAGTCGCTTTGGATAAAAGCACCTTCTAAATTCATAAACTTAAATTTAATACAAGCACTTAAAATGCATGATTATAAATGTGGTTAGAATTAATATGTAGACAATTCCTTCCATAGAAGTTACTCAAAACACTCATACAACAAGCCTCTAAAAATAATGTCATTAAAGGATTAGCTCATTTCCAGAATAAAAACTTCTTGATAATTTACTCACCCTCATGTCATCCAAAATGTTCATGTCTTTCTTTCTTCAGTTAAAAAAGAAATTAAGGTTTTTGAGAAACGTTCCAGGATTTTTCTCCATATAATGGATTTCAATGGTGGCCAACGGGCTGAAGGTCCAAATTGCAGTTTCAGTGCAGTTTCAAAGGGCTCTATACAATCCCAGCTGATGAATAAGGGTCTTGCATAGCGAAACAATCAGTCATTAGGCGGAAGTACCAACCCAGTGTTTACAAAGCGAACTTGCAAAGAAAGTCAAATGTCCTTTACAACGTTGTCGGACGATTTTGAAGTTGGAGAAAATGAGATAGCGTTTTTCTCCCTACCCGAACTTTTTGAACCGGCATACACAGACGAAGAGCTAACCGCACGTGATTACGTAATGCGTGAAGGACGTGCATCGCAGAACTAATGCATTTGTAGTTAAACGGTATTTGCTTTAAAAAATTTTTTTTTAGAAAATGACTGATCGTTTTGCTAGATGAGACCCCTATTCCTTCGGCTGGGATCGTGTAGAGCCCTCTGAAGCTACACTGAAACCACAAGTTTACCTTCAACCCCTTAGGTCCAATTGAAGTCCATTATATGGAGAACAGTCTTGGAACGCTTCTCAAAAACCTTAATTTCTTTGCGACTGAAGAAAGACAGACATGCACATCTTGGATGACATGGAGGCGAGTAAATTATCAGGACATTTTTATTCTGGAAGTGAACCAATCCTTTAAGGTCATTTGCTGAGACAAGTCAATGGAGTGTGACTGGAGTGTATTTGGGCTTGAATACATACCACAGCAGGTGAGGTGACAAACTTGGCACACGCGTACATGCTTGAAGCCTGTGGAAAACAAAGATGTTAGACAGGTGAAAGATAAGCACTAATGTCCTACACGTTAAATCACGTGTCCTTAAATTATAGTCTATACACACAGTGATAGGAAAGCGACAAAAACAGGAGAGGTCTGTGCCATCAAGACTTAAAGTTACAACTCACTTAGCAACTGAAGAGACTTCCAATTTAAGACCAAACCATTCAGAGACAGCAAATGAGATAAGTGTTCCATCATTTCACCAGCACCCAAACCAAAAGACCCCTTATCTGCACACAGAACATCCGTTTAGATCTGTTTGGTTAAGTTAACCTCCAACCAAAGGATGCAAGACTGCTCTAGGTCAGTGGTCAAACATGGCATCGTGGAGGTCATGTGTTGGATGCTTTGAGTTTTTGCCCCCACAATAAAATGTACAGATTGGAGGGACAGTTTAAACCATCTAATCTGAGGTTATTAGATTGAGCTTGTTAAATGGTTCACATTGTGACACCAGCAGCAACTAAATCCAGCCATAAATTCTTTACTCAATATACAGATTACTCAATATTTTACCTCTCATGCAAGTTCTTAATTACAATATAGGCTATTAATATTACATATAGGCTATTCATAGTTACCTAGGTTGTCTATTTTTACCTCTCATTTCAGGTCACTGTATGAATAACCGTTTGAACAGCCTGAAAGCCTGCTACTCGTTTCAAAATACATCAAGTACGAAAAGGACGTTAATAATCTTTCCTGAGATTACTTTTGAGTCCCAAGCTTGAGGTGTTGAATTTGCCCGCAAACTGCTCGCGCGGACAGGCTGGAGAGTGAAGGTCACCAATAGCTTTGACTGCTGCTTTATTGAAACCTAAACGCATGTAAACTGCCTTAAAACATGAAACGGACATCATTT